CGCCTGCACGATGCTGTCCAGGGTCTCGCGCATCCTGTCCTGGATGTAAATCTTCTTGGGCTGGTCTCGCGAGAAGGCGCTTCCGACGAGGGTGACGACGCCGGCGGCGAGATAGGCCTCCCACTCCTCGCCGTAGAGGTACTCCTCACGCTGGTGGCGAGAGCCGAGGTACAGCAGGATGGAGCCAATCTCCTTGCCCTGGGCCTTTTGCATGGCGCGGTACTGCACGAAGGCGCGGAAGGGCGCCAGGCCGGTTCCGAGACCGGCCATGATGAGCGGCGCGGTGTCCTTGGTGGGCAGCTTCATGACCGAGGGCTTCACGGAGACGGTGACGGTGGCGCCGGGCTGGAGGCGGCTGAGGTACTGCGTGGCCTGGCCGGTGCGGGTGCGGCCCTTGGTGTCGACCCAGTCGACGACGACAATCATGAGCGCGACGCTGTTGGGGGTGACGGCCTGCGCCGAGGCGATGGAGTACTCGCGGCGCTTGAGCGGGCTGACAATCTTGACGAGGTCGTGGAAGCTGGGGCGAGCAGAGCTAAACTCCTCGAGAATGTCGACGTAGGTCACCGTGTCGACCTCGGAGCGGCGCTTGAACTCGGCAGCGCCATCGTTTCCACCCAGAGCGGCGAGCTTCTTTTGCTGAGTGTCGTCGGTGGCGAACTCGGACAGGGCTTCGTAGAAGCGCTTGGCAGGCTTGCCGAGGATGTCGACGTTTTGCATAAGAGCCTGGAAGACGGTGCGGACTTCGAGGGCGCTGGCGTCCTCGCGAGAAGGCACCTGGACGAGCTCTGCGGGGTTGAGGCCGTAGAATTCGATGAAGGCGTTGACCTGTGCCTCGTCGTTCTCAGCGTGGATGCCCAAAGCCTCGCCGATCTTGTAGGTAAGGCCAGAGTCGCCAAGGTCAAACTCAATGTGGAAGATGTTACGGTCGTAGTCAGACGGTGTCAGGCGGCGGTTCTCCTTGACACGGACGGTGGAGGTCTTGACAGAGAGGTCAGGGCGCAGAGTCGTCTGAGTGCCGTAGGCCTCCTTGAAGACGATACCCTTGGCGGCGATCTGCCAGTCGTGGAGTTGCAGAGCCTCTTCGGCCTCCTCCTTTTGGAAGGGAACAAAGCCAGTTGGCTGCAGACCGGTGGACAGAATGGGGTGGACGAAATCAGGCTCGACCTCTGACCAGGTGGCCGGGACTTCGAGCTCGGAAAGAACCTGGACAAGAGCATTGCTGGTCTCCTGCAGGATGTCCTGGGCTCCGACAACCTTTGCAAGTTCCTCGGAAGAGGTTCCTGGCAGAGCAGTTTGCAAGAAGGAGAGCTCGAGGAGCAGCTTGGCGATGGAGGCATCCTTCTCGAACGCAGGAGAGACAGCAGGGTCCAAAACGATGACACCGACTTCCTTTTCTTGGATTCCCTTGCGCAGGGAGGCTGAAAGTCGCTTTTCAACCTCGGCGGCGTTGAATTTGGGCAGCTTAATGAGGAGCTTGCCGCCACGGACGATGTTGGCCAACACATCAACCTCCTTCAGGACCTTATCGTCACCAACGACCACGACGTCGGCTTCAGTGACGGGGTAAGGTGCCTCCAAAGCAACCTTGGAAGCGCGAAGATCAGTTCGGACAATGCCTCCCTGGGTGAAGTTATCATACGTCTCAAAGAGGTGGACGTTTGTGGTTGATTCCTGGGCAAGGAGCGTGCCAATGGCGGCGGGTGACTTGGCAGAGACGGAGTTGTCAACATCCCAGAAGGTGAACTGCTGGGACTTGACGAAGAGAGAGGGCACGGGCTTGGCCTCGCCGTCGTTTCCAAAGATCTTATGCAGAGTGCCGACCAGGCCCTTGGGGGTCAGGAAATGAGCAGGAGTGTACTTGATGTCCAGAACCTCGGGCTGCTGATCAAACTTGCCGGCAAAGGTGACGGCCGTGAGGACGTCGCCGTACAGAGCCGATTGGGTGGCCTCGTCCGCCACGGCGATCTCATTGTTCACCTGGCCGAGCACGGCAATGGTGCGAGCTGAGGCGGGGATGGCCTTGAGGAAAGCCTCCTCGATGAAAGGTCGGTAGACGCGAACGTTGATGACGCCGACTCTGGCTCCATCGGCGGCAATCTTGTTGAGAGTCTCCTTGGCGACTTGCGCCTCGACGCTTCCCAGGGCGACAAGGACGACATCCGGGGTCTCGTGTCCGGAGTATTCAAATGGCTGGTAGACGGTGCCGAGCTCATCGTTGAAGAGTCTCAGGAGTTCCAAAACCTTGCCTGCGGTGTCAAGGTGCTGGTTCAACTTGCCAGCCTCCGCAACGAGCTTGTTGTACAAGTCGGCGACGCCGGCCTCGCTCAAAGCATCGACAATTCTCAGAGTCTCTCTGGGAAGACGAATGCCGTCGTAAATGTGGAGGGTAGGGACGACGGTAGCCAGCAGCGTTGAGAAGAGTGACATGTGCTGAGACTCATACGCGGAGGAGCTGGCAACCAAGCCCAGGCCAAGGTCTTCGGCCAGTCTCAGAGCAACATCATAGTCAGAGACGAGGCCGTTGGCGTCGCTGTAGTCGGCGGCGGCAACGTGAGCCACAAAGGGGCTGGAAAGGTTGTAAAGAAGCGAAAGCTGGTCCAAGGCTCCACGGAGATTCTGGAGAGAGCCTGACGGGGCCAGCAGCGTCTGAGGGATATGGCGCTTGGCAACGTCGAAATCCGGCGAGAAGATGTAGCCTAGAGCCAGGGCACCGGCACCGGTTCTGGTCTGAAGAGGCAGGACATCAGGGGCGTATCCGTGGATATTCTTGCTCTCCTCGACAGCCCACTGCTTGGCAGCAACGTCAAGGCCAAATGTGGGAGGAGAGTAGGAGAAGATCTTGTCCGAGAGCTTGTAGGCAATCTGCTGGACAAGGAGCTGGGCAGTGACATACGTCGGGCCAGAGATGGCCGACAGAGGTACCTGCTTGCCAAAGGGCAAGGTGGAGGAGGATTCTTCAACCTTGGACGCCATTTTTCAGAGGAATTTCAAGTGTTCCAAAGGTCTAGTGAATCTCCAAGTCTGAGCGATGGCAACAGACTTATGAAAGAATAAGAGCTGGGGAAAACCGAGGAGAGGAGGAGGAGAACAGAGAGGAGACTCAAGGAGCAAAATAAGCCCATGGCCATCGTGGATCGCCCCGGACGGGAGAGCCACGCCACGGATTTGTCAGGGTCCATTCTGCACCCAAATGAATTTTATTCTTCTGCGTGCAAAGCAGCGAATTCTACCGCCTTGACTGGCTTCGAGATGCAAATTGTTGATACCGGGACCGAATCACGCAATTCTCTTAGGCCGCCTTGGGCTTAGCGCCGATGATGCCACTCGCCGAACCCTCCCCGAAGGGACGGGAGACTCCACTTTATTTTGTCTGCGGCGGCGTGATTGGCCCGGACTGTCGGCCAGGCTTTGGGGAAGAGGACCGACTTCCGACAGCGCTTCTCGAGATGGGATTTTGGTGATTATTGCTGGTGGGAAGAGGAAGTTTAATGTTCCGGGTTGGTGAGGCTTTGTTAATGCAGTGCGAGGATGAGGGTGGATGATGCTGTGTTGTTTTATGTTTGTATTGGCTTGGATGAGTTGAGAGAAATGTATGTTGGAGAGGAACGGAGTGCATACATATGCAGCCATCTGAGAAGAAGGAAAAGGACTATGCCAATTCAGACAGTTGGGCCAATAGCGGCGATTCCACAAGAAAATCCAGAATGGTACTAAGGTTGTGAAGGAGGCAACACAGTGCTATATATTGAGTTTAGTGTTTCGTAAAAGCGAATAAGACAAAATGATGCGGCTGCGAGGACCCGGCTATCTTGCAATGGACGGGATATTGATATGTTCTAACGGGATTCGGTCTCGACATTTATCGAGGCTTCTTACCTACATAGACAATCGTTGATGCTTTTATTCTGAATCAAAACGAAGGTGGCTTTAATACAAGTACACAATACTGGTGCTAGGTTAGTACCTAGGTAGTCATCCCACCATATGGTGTTTCACCCGCCTTGATCGTGTAGGGTCTGGTACATGCACAAGGTAGACCAGTGAGTTACACGAGTATTACCCAGCTTGGGTATAATATTCTCGACTTTGTCTCCCATTGGTACGTACTTTGGGCACGATGGAAGATGAAAGAGGCGACTCACTCAGTGCCAAGTTGCCTTGTGCTCGGATGAACCACCACGTGACCCGACTCAGGATGACGTCGGACTGTCGCTTCGTTGTTTGTCAGCAATTCAGCACAAATGTCGCGATGCCACAATATCAGGCATCAGCTGGAAGCCAAGCCAAGCCGTACAACGTTGATGGCTTTGAGGGAAATGTGCCTTGGTTACGCCACAGATGCGCCGTGCTGACCTCTGCAGACAAACTGACACATTCAAACTGACTTCCAGGTTCCTGTCGGCGGTCACGTGCAACGAGTAGAAAGTCAACAGCTGTCCCTTGCAACGCGTCCTGTCATTCCGGCAGTTTCTAGCACAAAGAAAAGTTGTCGTCATTGAGTAACGGCGAGAGCAAGACTGACAGCCTAGAGCTCACCACTTCATGATTCTGCTTACGGGGACTGCGTGGCTTTTGCGAGATACAAAGGGCTTTGTTAGTCGATGACGGCCGCCTCCCAACAGGGACCCCTGCAGACTGCGATATTTGTGCGGATTTTAGCGTCAAAAGCGAGCCAGGAGAGTTTCAGCGCTGCCTTATAAAGAGACGACGTCGACAGCAGCAACCAAGAAGAGCATCCTTTTCTCCTTCGTCACTGCATCTACTTTCGTCACTACCATCCTCGGTTAATATTTCAGCTTCTTACCTACCAAAAAAGGAAAAGATATCGTTGAAGCGCTTCACGACTACTTTGTGCAACAACACCTAGAGCCCTCATCATATATTCCGCCGGACGCTTTCATCACTACTGCCGTAAAACCCCCCCGCAAGCGCATCCCGTTAGGGTGCCCATCCTTAATCGCCGATTGGTGCAACGACAACGACACGGCAGGTCGTACATGATGCCTTTGTCCAATACAGCTACGACAGCCTATCTGCTGGGGAACCTCCACTGCCCATCATGTGTGACCCTCATCAAGTCGCTTTTGCATGAGACGTTTGGTGACAAGATTGTTTGGGTATCACCAAATCTGGTGACATCCATCGTGACGGTTGAGCACGATGACCATTCGCCCGACTTTGTCCGTGCTATCGGCAAGACGCTTGAAAATGTCGGCTTCGAGATTTGTGGAGTCGATACCACTGCCTCCGGTGCCGAAGAGCTAAACAACAATCCCCAAAGCAATGACATGCCTGACAGCAGCGGCTTCTTCGACAGCTGGTCCAGTCTGTGGGCGCAGAAGCAGCCGGCGCCGGCAGTAGAGGCCACTAAGGCTGCGCATCTGGAGAACTGCGAGGCGTGTAAAGCACACAGACCGCACGATGAGGAAGATGCCGGCCAGGAGCTAAAGTCGTCCTTTTCGTCTACGAGCCTGCGCAAGGATCCGACCGTCGATACAGTCCCACTCGATGGTGTAGTCACTGGAGATGAGAGCCAGCCCCCCTTATGGCGAGCAACAGTGTCTGTTGGCGGAATGACCTGCGCGGCTTGTGTTACCGCTATAACAGACGAGCTACAGAAACTCGACTGGGTGTCAAAGGTTGCCGTCAACTTGGTTGGAAACAGCGCCACGATCGATTTCGTCGGAGTGGATAAAGAGAAGGAGCTTGTCGAAGCAATTGAGGACATTGGCTACGATGCTGCAATTGATCAGGTGGTTGACCTCAATGAAAAGAAGCCCTTGTCGGACGAACGACATGTGGAAATTAGAATCGATGGCATATTTTGCCCGCGTTGCCCTCAGAGAATCAGCCAGACCCTGAAGAGCTTCGGCACCCATGGTGTACAGATCCTAGCACATCCGTCCGCGGAACACCCCATCCTAAAGGTCCGCTACATTCCAAATTCTCCTACATTCACCGTCCGCCACATCTTGAGAAGCATCGAGGCCACAGATCCATCTCTCCGAGGAAAAATATACCACCCGCCGACGCTTGAAGAGCGGTCGAGGGCGATTAGAGCAAAGCACACTCGACAGCTGTTCTACAGAGAGATGCTGACCCTTGTTCTGGCCATTCCCACATTCGTCTTGGGTATAGTGTACATGAGTCTGGTGCCAGACCCCAACTCCACCAAACATTTCCTGATGAAGCCGTGGGTATCTGGCCTTAGCCGTGTAGAGATCATACTCTGTCTCCTCGCTACACCAGTGTACTTTTTTGCAGCCGACGTCTTTCATGTTCGAGCCATAAAGGAGCTAAGGACTCTGTGGCGTAGTAGCAGCCGTACACCGTTTTTGCAGCGATTCTACAAATTCGGCAGTATGAACATGCTCATGTCTCTCGGAACAAGCATTGCGTATTGGTCTTCCATCGGCCAGATGATTGCCGCGGGGGCTGATGGCGATGCTGATATCCCTGAGGACCGGTTCTATTTCGACTCTGTGGTGTTCTTGACCCTCTTTCTTCTTGCCGGCCGGCTGATTGAGGCGTACAGCAAGTCCAAAGCAGGAAATGCCGTGGAGGCGCTGGCAAAGCTGAGGCCAACTACTGCTCTGCTTGTAGAGCAAGATAAGCTGCAAGGCCAAATTACTACGACGATAGACATGGACCAGCTAGAGCACGGAGACGTTATTCGCGTGCCTCACGGCTCATCGCCGCCAGTTGATGGCGTGATTCTATCTGGCGAGACGACTTTTGATGAATCGAGTCTGACAGGCGAATCAAGGCCCATCAAGAAGGGCGAAGGAGACGGGGTGTTTGCGGGAACCGTCAACAAGGGAGCTGCGGTGGTGGTCAAGGTCACGGGAACCTCTGGTAAGTCCATGCTTGATCAAATCGTCGAGGTCGTCAGAGAAGGGCAAGCCAAGCGAGCACCAATGGAGCAAGTAGCCGACCTTTTGACCTCGTACTTTGTCCCGGTGGTGACCCTGATAGCCATCATCACATGGGCTGTCTGGATGGCGCTCTCGTTTACTCATAATGTGTCAAGCGACGAGCTGGATTCGTCAGGAGGCTCAACCGCGTTTGCTTTCCAGTTTGCCATTGCCGTGTTTGTTGTTGCCTGCCCGTGTGGGCTGGGTTTGGCTGCTCCGACGGCGATTTTCGTCGGTGGAGGTCTCGCAGCCAAGTACGGAATCTTGGTCAAGGGCGGCGGTGAGGCATTTGAGAAGGCCAGCAAGGTGGGCTGCGTAGTCTTTGACAAGACAGGAACACTCACGGTCGGAGGAGAGCCTCAAATCACCGATTCTGCTCTCTTCCCCGACGGAGCCGTCGATGGACTTGGTGAAGGGACTCTCCTCTCTGCCATGAAAGCCACGGAAGAAAACAGCAGCCACCCCATTGCAAAGGCCATTGTTGGATTCTGCAAGACGGATGCCAAGCCGGTTGAGCTCGAGCAGATTGAGGAGGTGCCGGGCAAGGGCATCAAGGCCAGCTGCAAGAATCAACCCTTTGACATTGCCGTGGGCAATGAGAGCCTGATGAAAGACTTGTCTGCCAGAATATCTTCCAATGTCAGGGGCTTGCTGGAGGCGTGGAAGCAGGAAGCCAAGTCTGTTGCACTCATCGCAACGCGGCTTCATAGTAGTGGCAAGTGGGCAGTCACTGCCGTGCTCTCCATCTCGGATCCCATCCGCAAAGAGACGCCGTCGGTCCTTGAGGCACTACAGAAGCGTGGAGTGGAGGTATGGATGCTCTCGGGAGACAATGTGACCACGGCGCAGGCTGTGGCTCAGAGGGTGGGCATTCCCACGTCCAACGTGCTCGCTGAGGTTTTGCCCTCGGAAAAGGCAGCCAAGATTAGTTACCTGCAAGGCTCGATGGGCAGCAACGGTCAGCGTCCGATGGTGGCCATGGTGGGAGACGGCATCAACGACTCGCCGGCGCTTACGACGGCGGACGTGGGCATCGCCATTGGCTCCGGCAGCGACGTGGCTATTTCGAGCGCCGACTTTGTGCTCGCCACGTCGAACCTGCACTCGGTGCTGACGCTCCTGGACCTCAGCCGTGTCGTCTTCCGCCGCATCAAGATCAACTTTGGATGGGCGGCCGTGTACAATGTGTGTGCGATTCCCATTGCGGCCGGATGCCTGTACGCCATCAAGACGTCGAGCGGCTCGCACGTCAAGCTGGACCCCGTGTGGGCTTCGCTGGCCATGGCGCTTTCGAGCATCAGCGTGGTGTTGAGCAGTCTGAGCCTGCGGACGAAGATTCCTTGGCTTGGATTCCGCAATAAGCAGGTTATGTGATTCTATGGTGTTGTGGGTTCAAGCATTCAGGGCTATTGTCGTCTTTGCCTTGGCAGTCAAGGTTATTTTTGGAGGGCACAGGGCATGGGCACCGCGGTTGGGATCTTTCTTTTGGATGGACCATGTGTTGGCAGTTGAACGTTCATACGAGTATACCTTATGTTATGTTTAGTACAGTCTAGTTTAATCCTTAATGGTAAGCCTATTGTCTCATCATGTTGGCTCAAGTCTAAATCCCACCGCATGCACTCACTGTCATCAAACAGCTTAACTTGTTCTATTCAGCATCCCTATTAACAGTAACAGATGGATATAAATATAGAGTTAAACATGGGTCGTCGGGGGATCTGCAGGGCCAGCCGATTTCTGTTACTTCGGCGGCCGGGACGCTCAACTCGGGCCCGAAACCGTCGCCGCGTGCGGCTTAGACGATCCGGGGGAGAGAAAAAAAAATCGAGGCTCAGGCCCTCTAAAGCATTCCTTTTTTGCAGGTACTTTGACTGCAAGTACCGCTACTTTCTTTCTTTCACATCTGATCTAATTCCTTATTCCTTCTGGGGGCTGTAATAGTAAGTCAAATATGCACATGGCCTGGATGACGGGGCCATTTTCCCTCATCCTTGGGCCGAGTGGAATTCCATTCGCGTGCCCCCCCCCAAACAACAAAGAGAAAAGGCCGGGAACGGTGTGTGTATAAGTTTGGGCCCCTGGGCTGGGGGAGGCGCAGCAGGTGTTTCTGTTGGGTAGTAGAAATCAGCCAGGCGTGTTAGTTAGTTGGTTAGGTAGCTGGATTGAATGCTTTCTGCCATGGTTAGTAGGGGCTTGTCAGCTCGTGTGAGATCCGGGGGGCGTGAAAACAAGGCGGCCCAAAAAGCCAGGGCCATATGGCCATTGCTCAGACAGGGGAAATGATGTCTGGTGTGTATGTACATGGGGCAGGCAGATTTGGAATTTGATTTCTATTATTGTTGATGCTCGTCAATAAGCCAACAGCAGCGGCGTTTTCGTTGGTTAGCCGTGTGTGTATTTTGCTTTGTTTGTTTTCTTGCAACCCACATGTAATTTCAATCTGATATCCAATTTCCCATGCACATGAGCGCAAATAAACAAAGATGGAAGGAAGACACATCCGAGAATTTACTGTACATCAAATCTTACATCCCAAGGGCTCGTGCAACTTGTCAACTTGACAAAGGAAAATGGAAAACACGATGCAGTATTACCCACACTACACGAAATTGGACAAAAGCACAAATGAAGGCATGGTGTCACCACTTCTGCAAACAGACAGGCAAACAAACAACATGGGTCACGCCGTCATGCAAGTCATTCCCGATTCCTTCAAAGGAGAAGAAAAAAAAGAAAAAAAGAAAAAAACATGCCAAAGCGAAGGAATCCTCATCCTGAAATCCCGTCGCCCTCGCTCTTCGGCAATAACGAGCCTAAAAAAAAACCCTGCCTCACCGCAGCAAAGAAAAGCGAACCCCGAAAGACACACCCAAAATCCCATGGAAAATCAAGTAACAAAATACTACTAACCTTCTCTATACTCGTACATCAAATACCAAATTTGATTTTATTCCCGAACCCGTAATTCCCCGTCCTTGTGCTACAAACAACATCATGTAAAATCCAAGGCCACTTTTTTTTTTTCACTCTCCCAAAAGGGTAATGTGTATTACTTTGTACGGCCCGCCCAAAACACGCATTACGAACACGGGCATTTCCTGGGCATCGCCAAAAGAAGAAGAACAAAGCCACACTCGGACCTACGTATGCGTTTTCGCCTCTCCGTTTTTTTCTTTACTGTTTTCCGCCGTGATTATGGACTTGTTGCGTCATCTTGTACAAGCCATCAGACCGAACCATGTACATGTTGAAAATAAAAATCAATGAAAAAATGTCCTCCGTAGAGGCTGACGAGATCGGCCGCAAAAAGCGAAACCGCATGGGCCATCCACCTGTAATTGTAATTGCTCCGTTACCGACCACCTTTGATTCCACCAAGATGAACACCGATCTGTGCTGCCACTCACACTCACATCCATATCAAATGCCGAGCCCGCGGGCGCAGGAAAAAGGCGGGATAAATACACAAGTGCTGACGGGACGGGCAGTGATCAATCAATAAGCTGCTTTGGGCTTTTCTGATATTGATGGGCATCCTCTAAAAAAATCTAAAGAGGCGATTATCTAATGTAGATTGCAGTAATATCTTGAGATCCTCTGAAGGAAAATCACAAAAGAAATTAGGCAAATAATAAAAAAAAAAAAACAGTCATCCAAAGAGTCAAAGCCCAGTCTCTCCTCCAAAGAAGGATACGGGCAGTTAAAAAAAAAAAAGCAAATCCCACCATGAGAAAAAAAAAACTCCAAGAAATTCCCTTGACCCCCATTTCCCTTAGCCAAAGCAGGGTTTATCCCAACCCATTGTAAGCAGGCCCCTAGTTTCCCCCCCTCTGCCTTTCTCGACTTCGCCTCGTTGGCAGACCAAACCAGAAACCCGCAAATAGAAACATGACAACAAAAAAAAACACGGACCCGTTTCCCATGGCCTAAGATTTCGCTTGGCGTATGCACATGATATCTTTGTATAACAAATTGATGGTGGATGAAATGTGAAGAATGTGTGGTGGTGATTAGGCGATTGTCAAGAACATGTTCCGCTGTCGATGCGCTGGCCATGCAGCTCTTTCTAAGAGAGACAGGTCTTGCAGTGTAGTAGATGTATGATTGATGGGGATGGGCAGTAAAGCAAACAAAAGACAATCCGCGACGCCATGCTTTTTGTAACACAAAAGTGATTTAGTGTTGATGGAACAAAGGAAATGGAAACAATGAGAAAGAAAAAACGCCCAAGATTTGGCTCTGCAAATCGATGCGAATGGGGAAGATTTATCGGACGGCGACGGCGGCGGTGCCAATGAGGCGCTCCCACAATGCGCGCCTGTGTCGCTTCTTGGTCGGGCCCTCGTTGAGCGGCTCATAAGATTCCACCGAGGACATGTCGTAGGAGAGCATCCGCGCGCTGGCCTGCATCTTGGGCTCGTCCCGGTCCATGACGATCTGGACGGGCGAGTCGTACAGGCTACCCTGGCTAGTGCCGTAGAGGTACGGCGACGGGGACTGCTGTCTGCTCGAGGCGATGGACGAGGCGTAGGAGCTGGCAGAGCTGTAGACCAGGCCCGGGGGAGTGACTGAGCCAGAGCCGTTGCTGTTGGCGCGGTAGTGGTCGGGGCTGGCGTGGCGAGATCGGGAGCTCCGGGACGAGACCGGGCTGGGGTAGCGGGCGGCGGCGGCGTACAATTCCTGCTGTCGCTTCTTCTCCTCGCGGTGACGCATCTTGCGGGCGTGCCTCTCGGCCATCTTGATGCGCAGGGGCTCGAGGAAGCAGTCCAGCTCGCGGTACAGGTCGTGCTCGGTGATTCTCAGCTCCCACTCGAGCAGGAAGAGCAGCTGCTTCTCCATCAGGTTGACCTCGGTGCGGGTGAAGCCGAAGCTGTAGTAGTCGGTGTTCATGTGGGTGTAGTTGGCCCAGTGCTTGTTCTTGGGCGAGCTGTCGTTGAGGTACTTGGCCGACAGGATCAGGGCCGCCAGGAAGATGCGGTGGGTGGTGCATCGCAGGCCGCGGGCCATGGGCTGCAGCTTGGACCTGAGGCGGTTGAGGTAGACCAGCGTCGACATGAGCGTGGGCACCTGGACGTTGGACGAGACGACCAGCTGCGTGATGAACTCGTCCAGCGTGGGCAGCGCATCGTCGGTGCTGCAGACGGCTCGGGGCTCGGGGGTGCGCGGAGGAGTGAGAGGCCGGTCCTGGCCCTTGGAGGATTCCCTGGGCGGCGGCGGCATCAGCGTCGAGTCGCAGGCGATGACGTTGTGGGCAGCATTGGCCAGGTACGAGATCATGTCCCGGCTGACGGGCTGGTAGACGAACTGCTCCAGGGCAGCCTTGTTGAGGTCGTCCATGGAGAGGAATGATCTTGACGCCATGGTGGTGGTGGTGGTGTGTTTGCGTGTGTGTAAGTGGCCCAATGTACGTAAATGTGGGCTGTCGGGATCGGCGGTGAGATTGTTGTAATTAAGAAGAGGATGCTGCTGATGGATGGGAAAAGAGCAAAAAGCAGAGACGGAAGACAGAAGAGTGATGATATATAAAAAAAGATCAAAGGCGGCAACCACAGAAGGGGTGGCTTGAGAGACGGAGAGATGGAGATGATAGAGCAAGTTGGAGGGAGAGTCGTGTTGAGCCGAGGATGGAGCTCAAAAGACACAAAAAGGAGGACGGGATGGGATGTTGAGGGTTGCAAGGAGACGATGGAGAAGAAAGAGGAAGAGGAAGAAAAAAAGAGGAACGAGGACGAGGACGAGGATGAGGATGAGGGATAGCAAATGTATTAAAACGAGGTATCGCAGTCCAGTCCAGTCAGACACGAAAGGACGTGTGCATGTGGCCCTTTTTTAGTCGAGCCAGTGACCTCTGCTTCTGACGTTTCTGGGGTGTACACGAGGCTGTATACGTGCGAGCAAAGTACAGCGGTACAAGCACCAGCTGGCGGTCCCAGCGCTAGCGATGCGCCACAGGGAGGGTTGGGCCTTGTTGGGGCCTCTTGGGGCCTCTGGGTGTGCCGGCGGGGATGCCTGCGGGCTGCAGGGGTGGGTTGGATGGTGGGCGATGGTGGGCGATGGGAGGGTACCAGGCCGCAAGGAGGGGTACCTGGGGGGGATGTACCGAGCAGACAGCCAACGGCGGCGTGGCACGGCGACCGATGCTAATGTACTGCAGTCGACGTGGCGGGCCTTGGGGCGGTCAGAGACAGGACAGCCTGTACAAGCACCACGGGTACCGGAGCGTCGCAGCTGGGGTGGCTGGGGGAGAGGTGCTACTAAGGTTAGTACAGGTACCTGTATCGGGAGCGGGTACAAGGTACGAGTACGTTTACGCGCGAGGAGGGTGGCGGTACCTGTTGCGCAGGAGGAGCACGGAAGTACTCGTACACAAG